AGTAGTGGTATATCCATATTCAAAAGTGGCAATGTTTCCCAATTTTTTAGTCTGAACCTCCTCATAAGAGAGAGAGAGAGAGAGAGACGATTATTAAGGTTTTTGATCGATTTTTGAGCGTTTTGAATATCATTTTTTATTTCTTCTAACTCCCTAATAATGCTTTCTTGCTTTTCTAGAGAAGGAACCGGAACTTTTATTTTACAAAAGTCAGCAAAATTTATACTTGGTCGAGCCGTGCCACGAAAGAAAGCATCTGCTTGTTCTCGAAATTTTTCTGATTGACAGATACAAAAGAGATATTCAGGTTTAATTTTACTTTCATTCTTTACTTTAAAAACCGGATAATAAGCAGTAATACAACCAGTTTTATCCTTGTTATTATAACAAATATAATCTATGTTAACTCCCGGTGGTCGATAAGCAAAGTGTTGGGGATGAACGAATTTATAATCCGCAGTGTCTTTGGCAGCTACTCTTTCCTTAAATCTTTCAGCTTGAGAAACAAAATTATCTTGCTTAGTTACGCTTCAAAGGGGAAAATCTGCTTCCTTTCTTAAAATAACCACTTCTTCGATTAATTCACCTAAAGGGATTATTTCGTGTTTATTTTCTTCAAAGTCAAATTTTTTATAGAGACCAGGAATACTAACAAAAAAATTTTTCTTTATCTCTTGCACTTCTAACTTTTGAAAACCATTTTTGAGTTTTTCTTCTTCGCTACCATCCTTAAATTTTCAGAAAATATCAAAATCATTTTCTCCAAATTTTTCCTCTCTTTTGTTTTCAGTAAAACCATCATTTTTTACGGTAAAATGTCAAACTTCCTTTTGCTCTTTTTCCTTGGGAGCGGTTAGGTAAAAAATAACGGCATTAGAATTAGCATAAGGCTTAAATGCAAAGGGAGGTAAAGAAATGATATATTCAACATATCAATTTTGATAAATATGTTCTCTTAAATCGGTATATTTTCGGTCGTGAAGAATTCCTTCCAAAGTTATTAAAACTATTCGCTTTCCTCTATAATCTTTTTTCACCGCATCTAAACAATGTTCGATACAAAGACTATTACCATTTGCTTTACCTAAATAATAATTGTCTTTATATTCCTCAAAGGGCCCTTTTAAAGAAAAAGGCATAGTGGTAATCACTATGTCATATTGACTAGTGGCTGGGTTTTTTAAACTATTCTTTCTTTCGATGTTGTTATGACCATCTCCAGTTAAAATCATGTTCATTTTGGTCACTCGAGCGGTAGAGGTGATTTCATTTCCTCAAACTGTCTTTTCTTTTAAATTATGCC